TTGGCTTCCTCCCCTGCACACACACACACACACACACACACACACACACACTTCATAAGATAAATGACAGAAAAACATTTAAACTTCAGAACATAGCCTCAAGCCTCTAGAACAAATATAAACTTTAATGCCCCTGGGGTTCTCAGTTTTCTTAAGGTAGAAGAAGGCATTCTGTAGGTTTTCAGCTCTTACAAAATGCCATCACATGAACCAGTGTAAGTCATGGAGACACTGGCAGAGAGTGGGCTGTCAATCTCTACACACTCTCAGTAACTGCCCAAGATTGCTTATTTTACAAGTAGGATCTTTTTTTTTTTTTTTTTTTTTTTTTTTTTGGTCTTTTTGAGACAGGGTCTCCCTGTAGCCCCAGCTGTCTACTTAACTATGTAGACCAGGCTGGCCTTAAACTCACAGAGATCCACCTGCCTCTGCCTCCTGAGTGCTGGGATTAAAGGTGTGCGCCACCACGCCCAGCACAAGTAGGATCTTTAGATTGAGAACTAGTCTTTAACCAGGCAAGAATCCAATGGCAAAGGTGAATTCCATGTTAATTCTTAGGAGAATGTCATGTTTGAAATCTAAGGCACAGTGGGGACAGTGTTGTAAAACACAGCATAACTTTCTAGTGAAAATATTTTAAACCTATTAATCATATATGTTAAGTATTTAGAATCTTGGTTTTAAATGCCTGTGATGCTGGGTATAGTGGTGCATTTCTGTAATCCCAGCTCTTACGATTACTCCTATGTCACATCTGAAATGCCCCTGGTTGGTATGTGGGTTCAGCTGTTTGGAAGCATGTTAGACAGATAGATGCCTACACTAAGACGTTTTCTGATGAACACCAAAGAAATATAAAGCCAACATCAGGGTTTACATCCTATGGGAGCCAAAGGACATAGGACTTGGAGTAGAAATAGGCGAAAAGGGAATGTGGGGCTGTGGTCTGGGGAATAGTAAAGTCATTTTAGAGAACTTAGCTTTGGTATACTAGGTGCAAGTGCGATAAGAGGAGGCTATTTGCTCAGAATTTTACTTTCATTATTTTACAGGAAAGCACTTTCCACTGGAGTGTATCCAAACCAGCATCTGGCACCTGGGAAAGTGAGAGTTCCAACATACTGCCCATGAAATAAAAATAAAATTCAGAGGATTGTTGGTACAGCATGCCTTGGTTAGAAGCCAAATCTAGCAGCTGCCTTTCAAAGGCGTGTGGAAGGAGGGGATTTGCAATGGAAATGATTCCAGACTCCTAATTCCAGCGGGTATTTGTTGCAAGGAGAAGCCCACAGAGACTCGTTTGACTTTAGCTAGCATCCTCTGGCCTATGGAAACTCTATCTCTCTCTCTCTCTCTCTGTATGCAGTATGAGACCCACTTAAAGAGACTGGCCCCACTGGGATTTAACTAGTTATATGAGTTGACTATTCTGCAAAGTATTATTTTTGTTTGATTTTGTTTTGTTTGTCTTTTTGAGACAGGGTCTTCCTGTAGCCCCAGCTATCCCGGAACTCACTATGTAGACCAGGCTGGCCTTGAACTCACAGAGATCCGCCTGCTTCTGCCTCCCAAGTTCTGAGATTAAAGGCCTGCGCCACCATACCTGGCCAAAGTATTGTTTTAAATTCTGTGTTAAGGAACATGCCTGATATTGTAAGAAATGTATAAACTACTTAGATTCTTTTAAATAATTACAGTCTGAAGCACATGGTGCAATTCAAAATATACACCGAACAAATATATGCCACTTTTAAGATTCATAAATCAGTCTTTCATCCCAGCATTTGAGATGCAGAAGCAGGCAGATCTCTGAGTCCCAGGCCAGCTAAAACTACATAGTGAGACCCTGGGGTTTTTGTTGTTGTTTTTTAAACAATCAAAAGGTTTAATGACCAGTAATACAAAAGCATTGCTTAAATGACAATGGTAGAAGTCCAATATCTCATAAACAGAGGTGTGATGTGACCACTGGGATAAAGAATTTATACAGAAATAACAATGTCCCATATGTGATTTTTTTTAATTCTTAATTTTTATTGAATTTTTGTGTATTTCATATAGAACATCTTAATCAATTTTATACCCCTTTCCCCATTGGCACTCTCCCATAGCCCCCACTGGAATTCATACATTCTGTCATTTGTGTTAAGGCCTATCATATCAAGTTAAGTGTCCCCAAATGTCCCTCGGTGCAAGTTCATCCACTGAGGTTTAGTCAGTCTATCTAGAGTCCCTTTAAAAAAATCAGCTCTTCTTTACCCAGCAGTAATCAACTGCCAATAATTCTTCAGCTAAGATTGAGGCCTGCTGTTCATTTCCAGAGTTCTATGCTGGAGTTTTGCCTGCTTGTGTTTGCCTGGAGACCCTTTAAAAAAAAAAAAAAAAAAAAAGATTCGCTGGGCGTAGTGGCACATGCCTTTAATCCCAGCACTCAGGAGGCAGAGGCAGATGGATCTCTGAGTTCCAGACCAGCCTGGTCTACATAGTGAGTTCCAGGACAGCTGGGGCTACAAGGAGACCCTGTCTCAAAAAGAAAAAAAAAAAAAAAAGATTCATAAATCAGAGCTGCCTAGATGGCTCAGCAGGTAAAGGTGCTTGAATGGTTGAATTTGATACCTGAAAGCCATGTAAATGTGGACAGAGATCTAACTCCATAAAGTTGTCTTTTAACCTCCACATGCACACTCCCACACACATCATACACACACACACACACACACACACACACACACACACCAACTTTTTTGTTTTGTTTTGTTTTCGGTCTTTTTGAGACAGGGTCTCCCGCTAGCCCTAGCTGGCCTGGATTCGCTACGGAGACCAGGCTGGCCTCAAACTCACAGAGATCCACCTGCCTCTGCCTCCCAAACCCTGGGATTAAATGTGTGTGCCACCATGCCCGGCCAATTTTTTAAAAATAAAGATTCAGTGGTTAAGACCACTGACTGCATCAAGAGAACAAATGATATCAAATGCTGGTAAGGATGTGGAGAAAGGGGAATGCTTATTCACTGCTGGTGGGATTGCAAATTCGTGCAGCCTCTATGGAAATCAGTGTGGAGAACTCTTAAAAAACTAAAAATGAAGCCGGGCGTGGTGGTGCACACCTTTAATCCCAGCATTTTGGAGGCAGAGGCAGGCAGATCTCTGTGAGTTCGAGGCCAGCCTGGTCTACATAGTGAGTTCCAGGACAGCTGGGGCTACAGGGAGACC